TTATCGATGAAAATTGCAACATCGAAAATTTTATCAAAACTTCAAATATTGTTTTCTCAAAAACTAAAAGTTATTTTTCAAAACGTGTTGGTTCATTGGAAAGAGGACCCTCTTATTAACACTTTGGGAAATTTTCATACTTATATTCCAAGAACTGGATTTTATACGAATTTTTAAAACTTAATCGGCGAAAATTGTAAAATTCGAACAAAATGTCGATCAATTCAAAAATTTATTTCTCAAATATTCAAAACGACTTGTTGCATTAAAAAGAGAATATCAGTGCAAAGAATTCCAAAACTTGCTTTTCAGTGAGAACCGAAAAAGAAGGAAGAGAGCAAGACCAAAGGTTACCTGGATAAACGGCATTCAGAGGGCAATATTGGAGAGAAATCTGAGACCAGCAGACTGGGAGTATAGAAAAGGCTGAAAACTAGAACGGAAAGGAATAGCATAAACCGGGATATGCATATACACTGAAATTCAAGTTACTTTAACTGTTAATTTTAACTAATTTAACTGTTTTTGGAATTAATGGTTTAGCATTTGTGCTAACAATAAAAAGAGTTAGATTGGGGAAGGATCTTTTCTGTAGAGCTACTCTTATGAGTGTTTAAAAGTTGGTTACTCCACAGATGTTCTGTCTTTCTAGTCGTTCTCTCATTACTGAGAATCGTGATCATCAGCTGCCAGTATTCTTTATTGACTTGGGTTTTGGGTATTATTTACTTATTTCAATCTTCTGAATCTCTATATTATTATCATCTCTTCTTGCAATGTGTCCAAAAAACCTCAGCATATTTACAAATGAAATAGAAAATAGTTTATTCTGGATGTTCGAGGATGGAGAAGATGAGTGATTGAACTAACCTTATTTTAGTACTTTTAGTAATAGAGCACTCTTTACACTTTAGCCAGTGTTATTTTCTCCGGATGTCGCTCTCACTTGAGCCTCTGTTATCAATATGAGTCTAATTACATAATCTGGCCTACGATCAGAATAGAAACCATTAAATTTTGTATTCTAGGTTTAGCCAAGGTTGCCTGCTTATTTAAATCTTCTGATTCGATTTAAATTTGACTCATTTATGCCATCTAGGTAGAAAATAAATTGTTATAGAATAATAAGTACTAACAAATTTTTTTGATCACAACATATTGATTGAGGCCAATTTCGTCATCAATTTAATTAAGCTTGCAAATCAAGTTCCAGTCCCGGTATTCATTGTGTTAACACGGAACGTTTTGGAATGTTTAATCGCGGATGTAGAAATGCGTCAAATGAAAAAGAAATGATTACAAAGTAGGTAACCTTCATAAAATCAAAGAACATTTTTAAACTTGCAACTGCAAATAAAAAGGTGATAAAATATAACTTTGCGTGCTTGTTAACACACACCGGAAATTCATTGTTTCGTCATCGACGTCCGTTTTGAATGTTGCGTTGTTCGAAGGAGAAGGTTTTTTCGAATGGGTTAATTATTTCAAAGCGGTCATTAATTCTTGGTTATTATAAATTCGCAATTATAAGGGATCAGTTAGTTTTATTCAACGGCAACCTGTTCGGGAAGTCGGAAGGTTGAAGAAGAAAGAGTCAATGTGCAGAATGCGAGTACCGTTATTACGAGAAGTGCACAGGTACTCGGTGTTTCTCACAGCACCTTCTGAAAGAGAAGAGAAAAGCGTTCCGAGATGATAACAGTTAACGCTACTAAAAGGTCGTTTAATTTACCGTGTCAGAAGGGAAATTTTAGTAAAATAAATCCGTTACAGAAACTTTAATTACATTAAATGAGTTAATAGAGTTTAATAAGAAAATCTAAGACCGATCGTGACCCCAAGAGATAAAACTAATAATAACATTTAAAGATTTTAAAGAGTTCCTTTCGCCTCGAACGTATAACACTTTGCAAATGTGATTTTCAGTAATAACCAATAAAACTTTACGACCTTTTAGATGGCAGATGCGGTACTCTTATCGATTTATAATAGTACTGGGAACGATGATAAAGTGGACCGCGGAAACCGATTGAGTTTCTCTTCTAGGAAATTTACATCTTTGCGCGATGTGTTTTGAAAAAACGAATAAAACGTGGCGAAGTATTCATTCAATAAGTGCAGGTGTTCATTAACTAAGGTGTAGGCAAAGTTCAAGGATACTTTTGCAAAAATAAACGCTCAGAATTTATTTAGTATCGATTTTTTGAGTTATTATTCATTTGTAAAAAATTATATTAGATCAGTTTGATTGAATACGACCTATAAATAAAAATTAAATCTTTATCGAGTACTATTTTGTGATTAACGAAACATTTTTCTTAATAATGCGATAAGAAAAATTAAAACTGAAATATTTCATTATAAATCCTAGTAATTGTATTGATAAGATATGTTCCGTTATTTAAACAAATTCCTTCTGGAATTCCACTTTAATTTCCTTCTTCATTTAAATTGTAAAATAATCTTATTTAAATGTTAAACAGTTTTAAATGCATCTATTTTATTGAAAATGTAAATTAGTTTCTATTTTCTATAGGAAATGTATAGTGGGGGTGAAATCCTGATGTTGATTACATATTAATGGGGTCTTTAAGATTGAAGTAAATGTAACGTAGCCCCGATTAAAACATCCTGCTGAAAGCAACTATGTAAATTTCACGTAAAGAGGTTACTGTAATTCTGGTTCGTAACCTTGAAACTTAAATAAATAACTTATATGAGTATATATTATAAATTATAAGTGTTTTATGTGGGATGTCATTTTGATATCATTACAACTACTTGCTAAACAGATTATTCATCTCATTTCCGGTTATTTTCAATTTGTAAATTTGTACATCCGGTGAAAACTTTGTTTAGTATTCTAGTTGTAAACGTTAGATGTAAAATAATGTATGGACAAGAATATCAAATTTATTTCTTAACAAACATGACACTCTTAAGACGGCTAAATAAGACAGAAAAGTTGTAGTTGTGTTTAAAAATGTTTTTCTGGTTACACGGACATTAATTTTGCAAAATACAGCAAAATGCAGACCTAAAAAGAAAACTAATAAATCAAAAAATTAATAATCCAACTATTCGATCAGCAAACAAAAATACACTATTTGTATTACACATTATGTGTTAAAAACTAAATATCTGTGTCCCACCCACACAGAGATATATTTATATATTGTAATAATAACCAATTACACATAATTTGGTCATATTTGATTGTTGTATTAATCGTAGAAGAGTTTATGAACAATTATAAAATAATGTTACATACATTTTATTGTTCTTTAATGTTCTAATCCTAAAATATCACTAATAAAGTCAATACGAAGTAATTTTAAAAATTCTCAATATCACATAACCTCAATTTAAATTTTTCAAAATTATTTATTTAAATCTTTATCTACCTGTTACAAACCTATTGAAAACGATAACCTTAACTTAGTTAACAAAGAAAATAATCAATATTTGTATGGAATAATGAAATTTGAATGAAAATTTACAAAATTAATTTGAACATATTGGAAAATTTATCGTTGAAATCAAAAGAAAATGAATAGACATTTGAAAAGTGATTTAAAAGAGCATCAAAATTACGAAATATCATGCATAATTATAAATAATTTTAAATTTTTTAAATAATAATTTCACAAATGGAATTAGAGATATTTCAAATGTCAAAGTTGGTAGCATTGAAAAAACTAAAGTACAAATTTCAAACCGATGAATTTAACCAATCAGGAGACGTTATTTGAAAATTTAACATTTGAAAAACGGAATTTAGCAACAATGATGGTGGTTTCGATTGTCTGAAGAGACGCACGCGTTTTTTTTGCTCTCAAAAAAAAAATAAATTAAATCAACGTTTAACGATCCTGCTCCTATTGAAGAAACTAATTTGATCGAAGAAAACAATTTATTCCGTTCCTGGTTTAAATAATTCTTCTGGTGAAGAGAAAAATTGGTGCCCAATCCTGAATCCAACTGTTCTTGTCACAAAGAAAATATCCTGAGTTTGACCTCCGAAGTTTTCATAAAAACAAACTGGCTAAGTTAAGTTATTTTTTTTAATAATTTATTGTTTTGTTGATTCAAAAATTTTAAAACACTCTTTTTACCTTCAATACGATAAGTTTTCTTGATAAGTTCACTATAAAATTGTGAGGTTAGGATTACAATTTCCCTAATTAATTTAATTTTTCACGAGTTTTTAAAACCTTAACAATATCCGAGTTGATAAATACTACTTCGTATTAACTAATCTAGAGAATTTGTTCTTATAATCATTAAATCTAAATCATTTTGTCAACAACATTTCAGTTTAAGTTGTGCACGTGTTTGTCTGAACAGTAATGAATTGGTTCATTTTAAAGTTGTTTGTATGAGTTTAATAAGATGACTGAAATAATTATTTATTCCTAAACTAACATATTCCTTATTTTGGTTTAAAGATGTAAACAAGAAGTTGTTTTGCAGTGATCTTCTAAAAATAAGGTTTACTTTTTATTCATCACAACAAAGACATAATAAATTTATTTTAAACATTTCAGTTTGTATAAGGCTTAAGGTAGCTAATTCCTGCGTGTTTTTTTACGATTTAAACTACTTCTTCGTTTGATCTAGTGCTTTCTTCCTAATTATATTTTTTAGTGATAGCTCCTCCGCATCCCTTCACTTTTTATGATGTGGTTTCGTCTTCCATTGTTCTTTATTATGGCCTTTGTAGCAATTTTTTCTACAAAACCACACTGTTTTAGCGTGGATAAAGTATTAAAAATTACCAGTACAATTCAGGAATATCATGGAGTAAGGAACATCAATGTAATTTATGTGCAATATATTATTTTTGAAGTATAAAGGAAGGTACAAGTGTAAAAATAAAAATTAAAATTATGTTATGAAATCTCTTCAACATCCAAAATAACATCTTGTTTTAATGTTAAAACAAAATGAGAGGAGTAATCACGAGTAGTATCCATATTTTTGTTGACACTAAATTTGAATTTTTTAACTAGATGGGAGACGGCGACTTTCATTTGGATCAAACCAAATCTACTGCCTAAAATTAAATTAATATTTGTGATATTAAGTCGTTTTATGAACAATTTACTTACCGATGCAATTTCTTGGTCCATCTCCAAACGGAAGATAAGTATAAGGAGGTCTTTTAGCTTTGTTTTCTTCGGTAAATCTATCAGGATCAAACATTTCCGGATTAGGATAATATTCGGGATCTCTTTGTATAGCGAAATTTGGAATGATAATATTGGTATCTTTTTCTAAAATTTCTCCGTTTGGAAGTGTGTAATCTTCAGCGCAGCGTCTGTTTAAAACGGTTAAAGGTGGATACATTCGAAGAGTTTCTAAAACAAATTATTTCATTAACACAAAAATACTTTAAAACAATTTTAAATACCATCAACAACACAACTTAAATACTTCATTTCTTGCAAAGCTTCGAAAGTAATTCCGCCGTGTTTTTCGGAAACTTCATTAATTTCGTCTCTTAATTTTTCTTGAATTTCGGGGTTTTCTGCTAATTCAAGGAAAAGAAAAGTCATCGCAGTAGATGACGTTTCAAATCCCCCCAAGAAAAATATAAACGTTTGGGATTTAATCTCTTCTAAAGTAACGTCGAATTCTGGAATTTTTTGATCTTGCATTTCTTTCATCATTTGCAAGAAATCCGTTCGATAAACCAAATTTTTCTTCCTCTGTTCAAACGTGTCCATTATCAAATCTTCGAAGTATTTTAAATATTTATCAACGAATAAACCCATCTTAAAAAACCGACAAATATTCGGCAAAACATATAAACATCCAAATCGTAAAAACGTGGTACTTTCTTCAATACAAGTTGTTGCGTTTTTATGTAATACAGGATTTTCACCAAAAGAATTCGTATCGACTCCGAAAGCACAAGAACTAATCGTATCTGTAGTATACCTACTAATTATGTCTTTCATATTAATCGGCATCTTTGTTTTTGCATGTTTTGAAATCATCCCAGATAATTGTTTCTCGCAATTCAAAACCAATTCATACATATATTTAATTTTACCGGAAGTAAATGTCGGAGAAAATTTATACCTTAACGTTCGCCATTTCGGCCCATCGATCGTGAAAATATTTGCACTCATAGGTTGATCCTTTTCGTTATGATAAAATCCTCTGGCGTGAAAGCTCGGAAAATCTTTAATTAGTAGTTGTTTAATACATTCTGGGTCAATTGCTACAAAAACTGGCTCAATACTCATATAATAACCAGCGTATTTAAATCCGTGGGCTTTAGCTTTTTTATAAAAATCGTTATAAATTTGTCCTATCGATGGAGTTCCATTAAAAATATTTACGTTACCAAAAGGAAATGATGGTTTAAAATGAGGCACTTTTCGTTTTTTCCAGTAAGAAAATTTTAATTTCATCCAATAAGTCGTTAAAAATATAAGGATTATTGGCAAAATTAACCATTTTGTTAAAATTAAAGAAGATAACGCAATCATCTTTAAATTAAACTTTAAACTAACGTTTTCGAGACGAAGCAATAAACTGCAATACTTTTTGGATTGCATTTATACAAGTTTATATCAACTAATTTCTAGTCAAGGTTCACAAGTTACATAATAACTGTTATTATTAGAAAAAATAAATGTTATTATTTCACGTCAAGATTAATGATTATTGATTACTGCAAATTTAATTGAAATTAAAAGGAAAATATTGTCCAAAATTTTCTATTATTTATTTTTTTATTTATTCATTAATTTTAAACAATGTTCTCAGTATGCTTAAATCTTTATTGATAAATCTAAAGTACTTATCCCACCTTCCTAAATTAAAGATATTTAACACATTTTCTTGCAGACTGCTTCTTTTTTCTAACTGTCAGAAAGTACTGAAAGGTTGAGCTGAGTCAGAAATTATCAATGTTTTTTGCTGATTGTTTGGATGACGCTCTAAAGAGAGTACTAAGTCTTTGCTAATTTGACGAGGTTTGCGGTGCAGTTAAACATTGCGGAGAATCTTGTAAGTGCAAACATTAAATGCAACATCAAAAAGTCACAACAAAGTCAGTACCAAGTTATGTCACATCTATAATGTTAATTTCAATGATAAGGTTCGTGATGGTTCCTGGATCAAAGAGACTATATTATTATGCTATTTCAAAATTTTTGCAGCCTTAACACATCAAAAAGACTGTGTTGACATAATATCCATACTTGGACGATATGTATCAAGAATATTCCTCATAAATTTGAAGGTGGCAATAATAGCATTGCAATCAGTATCCTTTCCAAATTCTGTTGGCAACTTCTTCTTTAGGGATGACAAAGTAGCACTTCCAGTTATGATGGTGTTCATAAAATATTCACAATGAGATTGTAATTTGAAGCTCTTCACGTCCAGGATATAATTTGTCAGCGATTGCCATTTTCTTCTTTGCCAAATGCCTAATTTTCCTGCCGATGCTGTAGTTAGTAATTTTGTTAGCATCAGTAATTACAATTTATCCAACATTATAACCTCACCCACAAAATTAAGATTAACTTCGGGAATACGAATTTGAAGAGTGGTAATAAGTGAGACTGATGATTCCAACTCTGCTGCAAGTACATTCATTAAAAAATCTATTTTAATTATTGTTTTATCTCTATGACTGTTGATGCATATGGTGCCACAAAGACTTGCTTTTGAGTAAGCCAGATTATTCCAAGCGGTTGATCCCAACGATTTGGTATCGCTATACTTTTATACAAGTTTGTTTGCATATCTGGAGAGATATTTCGAGATCGTTGGTACAATCTAGTCATAAATCCAAAATTGTTGAATATTTGCATTTCTGACTTCCTCTCTGATGCTTGATTCCTGAGCATCAGGGTTATCTTGATTACTAATGGTTTATCATTGCTTTAGGCATCTCTAAAAAATAGATATATTGAAATATTTATGTAATGATTTTATTTCCAACAGTGATTATGATCGTAAGGGATTTGATTTTTATATCTCCACCACTAATTCTTCTTTATTTCCCGTACTACTTTTTCTAATTATAGTTATTAGTGGTCCTACGCTTCCCTTCACTTTTTAATGTGTGGTTTCGTCTTCCGTTGTTCTATATTATGGCTTTTGTAGCAATTTTTCTGCAAACCACACTCTTCTTGTGCGAAAAATTTACTAAAAAATGGTTTGGGAATAAAATAATCTTCTTTCACTTAATAATTTTGTTCCAATTTTCATGAAAAATAACTTTAACAGATCAAAATTGTTTTTGGAATGGTGCCCATAAAAAATAAAGAATAACATCAAAATAATTCATGTACTTTATGCAATGTATTTTTCTTTTTTTCAAGTGTAATAAAAAATTACAATATTTATGAAACCTCTTCAACATCTAAAATAACATCTCGTTTTAACGTTAAAACAAAATGAGAGGAGTAATCACGAGTTGTATCCATATTTTTGTTGACGCTAAATTTGAATTTTTTAACTAGATGGGAGACGGCGACTTTAATTTGGATCAAACCAAATCTACTGCCTAAAATTAAATTAATATTTGTAATACTAAGTCGTTTTATGAACAATTTACTTACCGATGCAATTTCTTGGTCCATCTCCAAACGGAAGATAAGTATAAGGAGGTCTTTTAGCTTTATTTTCTTCGGTAAATCTATCGGGATCAAAAACTTCTGGATTAGGATAATATTCCGGATCTCTTTGGATAGCGAAATTTGGAATGATAACATTAGTATCTTTTTCTAAAATTTCTCCGTTTGGAAGTGTGTAATCTTCAGCGCAGCGTCTGTTTAAAACGGTTAAAGGTGGATACATTCGAAGAGTTTCTAAAACAAATTATTTCATTAACACAAAAATACTTTAAAACAATTTTAAATACCATCAACAACACAACTTAAATACTTCATTTCTTGCAATGCTTCGAAAGTAATTCCGCTGTGTTTCTCGGAAACTTCATTAATTTCGTTTCTTAATTTTTCTTGAATTTCGGGATTTTCTGCTAATTCAAGGAAAAGAAAAGTCATCGCAGTAGATGAAGTTTCAAATCCGCCTAAGAAAAATATAAACGTTTGGGATTTAATCTCTTCTAAAGTAACGTCGAATTCTGGAATTTTTTGATCTTGCATTTCTTTCATCATTTGCAAGAAATCCGTTCGATAAACCAAATTTTTCTTCCTCTGTTCAAACGTGTCCATTATCAAATCTTCGAAGTACTTTAAATAGTTACCAACGAATAAACCCACCTTAAAAAACCGACAAACATTCGGCAAAACATATAAACATCCAAATCGTAAAAACGTCGTACTTTCTTCAATACAAGTTGTTGCGTTTTTATGTAATACAGGATTTTCACCAAAAGAATTCGTATCGACTCCGAAAGCACAAGAACTAATCGTATCTGTGGTATACCTACTAATTATGTGTTTTATATTAATGGGCATCTTTGTTTTTGCATGTTTTGAAATCATCTCAGATAATTGTTTCTCGCAATTCAAAACCAGTTGGTACATATATTTAATTTTACCGGAAGTAAATGTCGGAGAAAATTTATACCTTAAAGTTCGCCATTTCGGCCCATCGATCGTGAAAATATTTGCACTCATAGGTTGATCCTTTTCGTTATGATAAAATCCTCTGGCGTGAAAGCTCGGAAAATCTTTAATTAGTAGTTGTTTAATATATTCTGGGTCAATTGCTACAAAAACTGGCTCAATACTCATATAATAACCAGCGTATTTAAATCCGTGGGCTTTAGCTTTTTTATAAAAATCGTTATAAATTTGTCCTATCGATGGAGTTCCATTAAAAATATTTACGTTACCAAAAGGAAATGATGGTTTAAAATGAGGCACTTTTCGTTTTTTCCAGTAAGAAAATTTTAATTTCATCCAATAAGTCGTTAAAAATATAAGGATTATTGGTAAAATTAACCATTTTGTTAAAATTAAATCAGATAGCACAAACATTTTATTAATGCAACTTTAAACTAACTCTGTGTGATATCGAAGCACTAATCTGCAACATTTTAGCCCCTTTCCTCTTATATAGATGCTACTTGTTATTTTTAAAGTGACTTAAGTGGCTTAATTTGCCACGTCACTCCATTTAAACTGTTCCTTGCGTGGAATTTGACATTGTACGTTATCTAACAATATTTTTAAATTGAGGTGACTTTGTAAACATTAAACTCCATCTTATTGTTATTGCTTGGTATTATTGTTGATAAAATATGCAGTATAGGTCATAAATTCTGAATATTTTTCATTCGATAACGAAAATAATAATTTTTATGCTAATTAGCAAAAGTCAAAGTTGATATTGATTGAAAATATAATTGGATTTAAATAAAAAGTTTATCAAAAATAATTATTGCTTGATGGCAATTTCAACGATATCCTATTTCTTATCGACAACTTGACTAACCTAGCAAAATTAAACATAATTAAAAATAACTATTTATTATTATTTTCATGAGTAAACATTTGTTTAGAATTAATTAATTTATCGCAAATTTCAAACAAGTTTACCTATACCAAACGATTTTGAATAATTAATGGGATTTTTTACAATTTTGGTTTAATTATAGATAGAAATTGAAGCTGCTGCGTGAGATGGCTTAAGATGTGAAATGATTAAATATCTTAATGTAACCTTTTGGACTTGGAAATGAATTTTTTTGCTGCCGATAATGGGCAAAATGGTGGAAGAGTAAGATTAAACTAAATTTGTGTACAATAGCTTTTCTATAAATATGTTTTGAGGTTGGGTTGAGTTTATGGATGTGTCTGAGACGTTTGGCATTATGGCACTAATTGTGTTAGTGGTGGAGATGAAATCAGCCATTTTCATAATAAAATTATATGCGTATTTTGCAGTCCTAAGGTCAGTCGAGGTTGTAATTTTCATTGTTCAATTTAGTATCAATGCCTCAACAGCAAGCAACCTCAGCTTAAACAAACAAAATCCTACATTTTCTATTCTGATTTTAGCCAAAGTCACTTCCTACATATATTAATCACTTTTAGATAATGCAGTATGTGTTGATCAGTTTTTCGCAGATATCGACTTAATCTCGACTTAATCAGGCGAAATCATACATAGTCCGTAATTTAACCAAGACTATAATTTGCATAGTTCAATTTTGTGTCAATTGCAAGAGATCTCGACTTAATCAGGCGTAATCACAGATTCTTAGTCTTAAGTGAATGTAGTTTGCGTTATTCAATTTAGTATTTGTGTTGTATAAATTGCAGAGCCTAGGCTTAATTAAGCAAAATCTTACATTCTTTGTTCTGAGTTTAGCTGAGGTCGCGTTTGGCCGAGGCTGGTCATCTTTGGGATCAATTGAAAAACCTAAGTAAAATTAAACATTCTGCACAAGTATATATCTCATTCCAAGATCAATCGATACATGCAACAGCCACTTAGCACTTTTCAACAAGATATATAACGCCTCAATCATCATGGGAGCTGCCACCACAATACCATGCAAAACTGCTAATAATAAAACTAATAATAACTGATTCTGTATGATATTTAGACGTTGTATGTAGTAAAAAGAAGCCTGCGTTGTTGTTTATGGAACCTGATGTTAACAAGAATGGGTGATTTTTGAATTTTGGAAAAAAGATAAAAAATACTTGTATATTGGTATGGAAAAGAAAGAAGCTTGGAAGGATTTAAACGTGTTCAAGTGAATACTGGATAATCAAGAAATCATTAAACACCAACAGCAGAAATTATGCCTAAAAGAGATAGATCGTTTATTTGAATGTTCAGGCATATTTCCAAGCATGTGGTTCGAGAGGAGACGCAAATTCAGGGAAGAACGATATTGGCTAAGATTTTGAATGAAAATTACATACAATTCGATAATTTTGATTTGCAGAATTTTAATTTAATTATTAAAAGGATTGAATATATACAATTTGTCTGAAAATCTATAAAGAGTAATAAAACGCAATAAAATTCTTTATTTCCTTAATTAGAAATAAGAAATCCACTTTTCTTTTTATAGATAAACCATATCAATTAAAACTTGTTACAAATTAATCAATTTCTACCATAAAATCGACACACAGAAAACGTTCAATCGTCTCCACTTATCGGCCGACGATTAAGAAAAAGGTAAGAGAAAAAAAAATTGTGAAAGTAACATCGAAAGTAACTACGACTTCCAATGGTTTCCATCCACACGGTTTTAAGAGAGAGGAAGTGTTGTCTATGAATGGACTGACTCCGGACGAGAAAGAAATTGGTAAAACCTTCTTCCTTCCTGCTAATGAGAGAAAGATTCCTCAAGATTGCAGAAAAAAAAAAGAAAAGCTTTCTGAAGTGTTTTTGTTTACGATTGTTGCAGTCACAATGGAAATGGAAGAAAAAATTTAAAATGATAAATCTTCTGGTAGAAATACTTATGTCATCTCAAATAAATCTAAACATTTTCTTCTTCGTGTTCTGCTTCTTCGGCTAACATTTTCTCATATAAATTTCACGTTCCGAACGATTACACTTGCTTCCGTAGAAGTTGCACGTGTGCTTCTTCTTCGACGATCCTGTTCCGCGAGGTTTCTTCTTTATCATATCGTTTCTTCTCCTTCCATTTACGCTTAATTGGTGTACAAAATTTATTGCGGTTTGATACAAATTTATGTGTTCTTTTCAACAACAAACACATATGGTCCGTGTACGCGAAGTAAAACTTTTACTAAAGCCAGTTTATTTAATCTTTCATATTGTGACCCTTAAGGCACGTTTGTTATTCTGTATTTCTTGTTATAACGCACCTGCTCCTGCTATGTAACACGATAAACACAGTCGCAGGAAACGAACGCGAAGCCATTGAACCGGCATTTTCTATCGTTTTATTGAGATTAAACTGAGTGTAATTTAACTTTTATTATTGAATGAGTTCATTGTTTGGAATGGGAGGGTCGTAAACTAAAAGAAAAGCTTGTTTTATTAACCACAAGGATTGAAATTTATTATTAATGAAATTAATAGCGATCTAATTAATAATAAGTCGGTTATTGAATTATTATGGCGAGATAACCAATTAATAATAAAAGCTTTAGAAATTACTGGTATAGGCAAAATCGATTAGTCTCTTTCGAAACTTGCTCATTGTTTGCAAGTTCCTGTTTGACCACACCTTGAGAAGGAATTCAGGTGTAGATTTTCATCTAAAAAAATCTATGTCATCATTTTAAACAATCGATTATTTTTTCACAAAAAATTACATAATTATTTCTATTCCTGCTTACACACAGCTGTTGCACGTATAAGACTTCTTTTTTTTTAGAAAGAACCGTTTACCATATGTTGCAATAATATGAGTACGTTTAAATTAAAATACAAGATTTATTAAAATGATAAAAATCGTGACATGTAACTTAATATTCTCGTTTCTTGTTGGTTACACATCTATTTTTAAATACATAATTTGATCAGAGCTGTTTTATGTCTGCTCAATTCTCAATCGTAATCAATAAAACGCAAATATTAACTTACACGGCCATAAAAAACAACTTTATTTACACTCAAGGTTTTTATTTTGAAAACAAAAACTGATTAAAATTAATAAATTCGAGTAAATAGTTTCTGAATCGAAAGTTTTGAATTTAGAAAGTGCATAAATGAAATAAATTATGCTATCTAAATAAATCTAAAATGCTATTTTTTTTTTTTTAATCAATTCTGATTATAAACTAATAATAAAAAAATATGCTATTTTTTGAATAAATTCGGTTATGTCATCATTTATTTTTAAATTTGCCAGAAAACTTTCTAATTTCAATGTTTGAATTTAAAATTTACCCAAATGTTTGTAGTTCTAATTTTAGTTCAATAAAAATATACAACAATAACAACTAAAACTTGAGCTAACACTAGAAGTAGAACTAACACTAGACCTCGAAAGTTGGATGGACTAATCCACCCAGTTATCCAAGGTGGAGAAATTCCTTTCTCCAAGGAAGTTCTCCAAATATCTAGGAGTAATTCTAGACCAAACCTTGTCATGGAATGGACATTTGCAGAGAATTTTGCACAAAGCTAGACTATCCTTGTGGACTTGTCTTTGTGGAAAAAAAGACTGTACTGGCTCTATGTATGTATAGGAAAGTTCGACAGACTTCAGTTATCAGTAAACTTTCACGAATTCAACGGGTAGCTGGATTGGCAATCTCTGGTGCGATAAGCACAACGCCAACTCTAGCAATGAAGGTTCTGCTTGGCCTATCTCCTTTGCATTTGCATATAGAAAAAGTGGCCAGAACAACCATTTGCAGATTTAAGCAATATGCTCAAAACTGTTCCGATATGTCCTACCAATGGGCTGCGGAAGACATTATAAGCACTGATACTGTGCTATCAATGCCGTCAGATTTGGCGAGATCACTATCAGTGATTAATGCTCGATACCAGATTGTACTGCCTGAGCGGCAGTCCTGGATCGAAAATAAAATGAATGTTCGGCAGATTTTTGCATGTTCACAGATTGATCAAAAACGCCGGAAGGGGTCGAAGCAGGAGTATACTGCCAAACACCTCGAATTAAGCAAGCCTACAGCCTGGGTAGGTACTGTACTGTATTCCAGGCGGAAGTATTTGCTATTGGTATGGGTGCTAAAATCCTTCTTGAGAGAGGGGTGAAGATCATGATAGTACGAATTTTCTCAGACAGTCAAGCCGTTCTCCAAACGCTGCAAGCCGTGAAAACTGTGTCGGCTCTTGTTAATGATTATAAGAGAACATTAAACATACTGAGTTGTGATAACAGAGTTTCTCTGATCTGGGTCCTGGATCACTCTGGAGTTGCTGGCAATGAAGCGACAGATGAGCTAACACGAGAGGGCAGCTCTAAAGCGTTTGTGGGACCGGAACCAACAGTTGGTGCATCATTTGCGATGGCCAAATATAGGATTGGACTGTGGATTGAAGAGAAACTTTGCCTACTGCGCACCAGTTCTCCTGGATGAGACATACTAAGGTGTTTATTAACATCGCCACTGTCAAACCCGGAACATTTTAGGACTTACTCGTAGCAGCATAAAACTTCTAATGGGTGTCTGTACTGGGCACTGCCGATTAAAAGCACACCTCAACTTGTTGGGTTTAGCCGACGATGTTGAATGCCGACTATGTGCGAAGAAAGCAGAGACTCAGATTGTCGATTTTTGGGTTGCAGTTTATCTCCTCAAAGGATCTGAATGACCTTTCATCGAGCAAGGCATAAATATAGCTTACAGGAGAACAGATAGTGATTGAACAAGGACATTATTTGCTTACAAAAAATGCTGATCGCAGGCGACCAGATTCTTATTGCAGAATACGAAATACTGTTAATAGGAGACTGAACATAGTTTGCAGAACATTAAATAACGTTTCCAACAGGCTAATTGTTGGTTATAGATAACTAGATTCTGCATATAGAACACTAAATGCTTCTTGCAAAAGACTACTGACTACATAAAACTAGATAAATAGGAAATGCTTGTAAAGGACTAGACATCGGTATATCGCGTAGCTGTTTATACATATAATAATACACTAAACCACCAGCACACATCCAAGTCTATCTCAACGTCATCCCCACTTATCTCACATCTAAGCAAGCTAACACGTCGCGTAGTAACCTACAAGTCCAGTTAAACCTCAGAAAATAAAAGATATCCTTAAACAATCCAATCTAATAATTTAATCGCAAAGAATGATTGAATAATCATTTCTGTGATCATAACCCTCAAAGACGAAACAATGTCACCGAAACTCAAAGCATGTAAACCCAGACTACAATTTATACTCAAGACTAGTCTAAAAGTCAGTCACTATGATTCCAAAGTATCCTAACTTATACACAAAGTAAGCTAACTCAATTCCTAAGGTACCCGATCCAATCCCAAAGCACAATTTAATGGCCAGACCAACCCAATCCATACTTAAAACGCAAACATCTCCAAACAACCCAACTCCTATGCAAAAAAAAGCGAACCCAAACGCAATTCACATGAAATCCGATTCTAATACAAGTTTTGATTTATTAGGAGCATGAGTGTAGTCTATGTAATGTACTGTAATATAACACTAGACCTAGAACTAGAAAGTTTCGGGTTAAGCCGCCTTGAAAGACCCACGGCTAAACTCAAATGTTAAGGTAGCCTTACGCTGGATAGAACTTCCAAGTCATGGACAGGCGAAGAGTATGACAACTTGGTTGCAAAATAAAACAAAAGAGGCTTTATGCCATAACAAAGGGATCTAAGGTCGCTCTCAGGTTTCCTGACCGACCATGCGCCACTAAAATACCACCTCTTCCACATTGGACAAGCTGAGGATCAAACTTGTCGATTTTGCAACGATGTTTTGCGTCGCCAAAGAAAGGAACTAGATATTTGCCCTAAAACTCTGCCACTCAGTCCAGCAGGAATAATAAATAATAAACCCAAATGGTTCTAGTGATAGTGCTAGTTTTTCTTGCTCTGTATTTCCTGCAATGTTCAATGTCTAAATGTTTCGGCAATGATAAATTGAATGCTATGACTATTCCAATCCTGTTAATGCACAAACTTTGCATTGCAGTCTTTATCTATTGCAGAACAATCTGCCATCTTGTCAAGAGTTGTTAAGTTAGATAAGAATAGGTTTCTTATTTCATCATTAATAGTTAATATCTTCTTGATTATTCTTCTAAGACTGTATTTCCTAACATTATCTCGTGAACAACTCGTGAACTTTTATAATTTGGAAAAATATCTTCTGCAACAACTATTTTCATTCAACCGCTAATACTGAAATAATTTCCTTTGCACTTTAATGACTTTTTTAAGCACATTGACAATGTTTGAGTAATTTAACAAAATTTACAATCCTATCTACCTCCTTATCAACAATGTAATACGTTTAATGTACTCTCTATTTGTTTGTCATCCTCTAAAATGTTTATCTTTGACTCTCTCAATTGTAGCCCCTCGGGCGCAAGCAACATCGATACAAAGATCAGTAATATCTCGTGAATAACTACTATTTGAGGTGGCGACTGTTTAAGTGTCTATTTTTTACATGGTATTCATCTTATAATTTGGAAAAATATCTTCTGCAACAACTACTTTTCATTCAAGTACTAATACTGAAATAATTTCCTTTGCAGTCTAATGACTTTTTTAAGCACATTGACAATGTTCGAGTACTTTATCAAAATTTCTAATCTTATCTACCTCCATATCAACAGTGTAATATGTTTAATGTGCTCTCTATTTGTTTGTTATCTTAGAAGTGTTTATCTTTGACTCTCTTAATTGTAGCCCCTCGGCCGCAAGATTGCGAAACATCGATACAAAGATCAATATTTCTGATTTTAAGTATAAATAATTAAAGTTTTTTCTGTATCAATAAATTAATTTAAAATAAACATTTCTTATATAATTAAAAAAAAACTATTAAAATAGTAATATTATTTGAAAGTTGAAATAAATTATTACTTTCAATTTTCCTTCGAAATTATAATTATACAGAAAATTAAAGAAACGAATCCAATCATAATTATAATAAAGAAAGGTGAATGGACAATTTATATAACAATTAAGTACCCTATCATAATTCATTTCTCTTTTACGATTTTTTTTAAATAATTTCTTGTTTCACCTTCATTTATTTCTAATCCAAACCAAATTAATCATTTAAAATCGTCCATTTCATTTCGAATTAACCGTAAAGAAAAAAAAATCATTTCGTGACTAGCTCCAAGAACGCGCCACAAATTACAAATTAAAGTGCACTATAACCAATTTATCGCGCGGTTATCAATTCTTATTAGGAAAACGGCTGCACCCAAGTTTTGTGCGCAGAATTTCGCGTTAAAGAGAAGAAAACAAAGAGAACCCCCAACAAACTGTCTGGATGTTATTTTTTTTTGCTTTTTAAAGAAAGGAAGTTCAGGTATTTGAGTCTCGACACACCTGCCTCTGTAGTTCAGTCGAGTATAAACACGACTTCCTCTCTTTTTTTTTTACTTTCAACACACACACAAAAAAGTGAAATGGGTGAAAACCGTTAAAAAGGTCTAAATGTAAACGTAAACAAAATTCGTAATAAATTAAATAAGTGGGTAAGTTTACAATGTTGTTATGCAATTATTGCATAAAAGTTCGTTCATTACGTTTATGTATTAACCGTGAAATATTAAATGTTCACGCTTCCTCAATAACTTTTTTATTCAGTATTTTTTATAATGCATTCATTAAATTTCTGTTGGTGTAATCCTTTATGTGAAAGATAAGTAAAACCCGCGATTAATTAATTATAAATAAAACAGCAATATATCAATCTAATTTTTGTTATCTACGACGATCTATAACTTATCTATTCCATTTATACGTAAAATAATTAAAATTGTTTTTAAATCAATTCTAGTAAAAAAGAATAATATTTAGGTCAAGTAGACTCAATCGAATATGGTTCTAGTGCGCAAGTTGTCCTTATCTTAAGTTCTTTAAATGGAATTGGCAAGTAGTGAGTCACTTGGTTGTTGAGCACGACATCGACGAAGAAGAAGAAAGAAAAAGAAATACCCCAGCGGTCACCGTACGCCTCTGGCCGCTGCCACCTTTGGTCAAGATCATTGTTTCAGTTTGCGGTTTCGGCTCAAGGTTTGGCTCAAGAATTGCAACAGTTTCTTCACCGCGTTAAAAAGACTTTTTCTTTGATACCGATTTTTTTTTATACATCTCATATTCTCCATAATATGATGTAAGGGAGAAAAAAATATAAAAAAAAGGCAACAAAAAGGTGGAGGTAAAATAGATCTTCTTTACCCGCACCCTCAACCATGAGAAACACTATTTAATTTCTTGTGAACGGATGCTCGAGCTTCTCTTCTTTGTTCCGTGGGATAAAAGAAACGGTCATGGAGTGGTATTTGTGAGAACTTTGTACTATGTATAAAAATAAAAATTTTCTTCTTTTTATACTAAAATTGTTAGTCTTAAATATTGTTATAATAATTGTTTACCAATTAATTCTTTTTTTTGTTTTCAGATTTACAAGATAATGAAAACTCCGATTATGAACTGAAGTTTTAATAAAATCATTCAAAGTGTTTACCTTCAACGAATTCAGGATGCGCGATGCAGTTGGCCATCCTAATGAAAATGGTGAGTTATTTTTATCTTTTAAATCCGAATTGTGTAGAAGATAAAGTTTTACGAATATGATGAAATCGGCAATATGGGAAATAACTTTTAGTATAGCCCAAAGAATATCTTACATTCCACCGACGCGACCTAAGTACCATGTCACTTTTGTCTACGGCCCCCATGTACTTGTTGTAATTAGGTTTCAAGGACGACGTTAGCACTTTCTCTTTCGTTCTCTAATGGTCTTTTCCTGTTTCTACCATTTCTACGTGGTATGATCTAAATAACATCTACTTCTTCTTATCTTCTCACTTGACCGCAATTAGTACTCCTACTTCCAAAATGAATGCGAAATTAAGTTATCACTTTCTGATCAGACTTAAATTCACACATTATCTTACTCTTGTAGAGTTTTTGAACACTTCTTCGTCTGCGTCAAATTAGTCAAAAAGTATAGCTGCATAACCATTAGAGGTATAAGTACGTTTAGACAAACAAATACTCAATAAACTCAATCCTACAAATCCTACAATTTGGCCTGCATGGTCTCCTCATTTATTTCTTAATTTATGCGCAGTAATGTACTTGCATTATTTAAGGTGTCCAAAGAATGTAATATACTTGACCTTGTAGATTTGAGTTGGAACTGCAAGGTAGTAAATGATTCTAATACATTATTTACATAAACATTGAGCTAATTTTCATCTATTGCTCAATACAACGATTGCATAGCGTTTATTGACCTAAATCCAGAACAACTCAACTCAACGCTGTGTCTCGTTAAATGCTAATAAAGCAGGCAGCATAAATGTTACCTCATAACTGAATCATTAACACACAAAAATGGAGTTGGATTTGTATTGTGAACTACTCATTGGAGAAATATGTTGAAATGACTGCCTATTGGCGCTAACACACCATACTGTGTGGTCAAAAATGTGTTTCCACAATACAGCTTTTATTCAGTAGTTTTGGCTTGTTTCTTCTACTTTTTTTCCGCGTGTTTACCATTTATATCATTTCTGCTAGAAATTTTGTAATTTGCGGTAGAAACCTCCAACAGGAACAAATTAACTCTTATGTAATAATATTTCACGACTTGAAACGCAGCATTATTGAAGAGATCAGGAACAGAGTGGACAAAGCTACCACGAGTTACTATGTCTTGAATCGGTGTGTGTTTGGAAAGGATGAAGTAAGTCGGAAGGCCGAAACAAGGAGTTATAAAGAGGTCATTGAGCTCCAACTTACGTATGGCAATGAAAGCTGGACCGCAAATAGAAGAGACATCAGTAAAGTTAATGCAGTCCAAATGATTCATGATTCAACAACCATATTCGAGAAGAGCTCAACATGTAGCTGGCCGAAAAGATGATTGAGGAGCTGTTTTGGTTTGGCCTAAAACGAATGGAACGGGTGAGGAAACCATGGATGATGTACATGGAAGTCAGAGAGCAGAGAAAGCGACCCATAAGAAAAGCGAGAATAACATGGGAAGAGCCAAGCAAAGACTGTGTAATAACTCAAGAAGAAAAACAAACTTGATTTACAATCCTACAAAGTGAGAGATAATCTCTTATTGATGATATAAATCTGCGGAATGTCGATAAAAATTCTTCCGTGGTTAATTTCTGAATATATTGTCAATCTAACAGCAAGGGTTACATCCTTGTATGGTTTGATGCTTAGTACTTAGCCGAATTGGACCAGCATAATCTTCTGTTGCACTTGAGGTGGTGGGTTTATCATCCTTTCTGGAGATAATTTACCCAAAAATTGTTACGCTGCTTCTCGACCAAATTTATGGACTTGATTAGGACCGCTTATACAATTTATTTGTCATTAGTCACATTTTTTTGCCAAAACATAAGAAAATTGATGATTGGAAAGTTTTTAATCACATTTTGCAAATAGTTTAAAACATCTTTTAGCTTGCTAAAGATGCAAATACTAAATTCAATCCAATCAAAAAAAGAATGAGTGCGGAGTCAAGACGCTTTAAAACCACTTACCTTATGACTTGTTATAACACTTTGTCATTCCTGGTTCTGCTTCTTCTGTGATACTGATGTCCAGGTGTCTTTCTATCGCTTTGAAAGTCTTTTTGTGTAAATTTTGCCATCTCTTGTACATTTTGCCAAGCACGACCAATCCATTCTTGATACATGTTCATTCCATTCCTCCATTTCTGCCGGACTCATTTGATGATGTCCGGGGTATTGCATTGTTCTCTAATTTCTGTAATTTCTTTGACTTAGCTTTGGACTTGGCCGTGCTTACGATTGATAAATAGTTATTAATCCATATTGGGTTGCAAAATGCTTTGTGACAAAAAGTACTAATAACCCATTAGGTACTACTATCAATTCCATCTCGCTATGCATTTGTAAATCATCGTGGTAGGTAAATAGATAAAGATTTTGTTCGTGGTGATTCGTGGTCAATTTCTAAATATATTGTCAATCTAGTAGCAAGGATTACATCCTTGTATGGTTTGAGGCTCAGTACTCAGCCGAATTGGACCAGCATAATCTTCTGTTCCACTTGAGATGGTGAGTTTATCATCCTTTCTGGCGATGGTTTACCCAAAAATTGTGACCGCTTGTACAATTCATTTGCCATTAGTCATATTTCTTTGCCAAAACATAAGAAAATTAGTAATAATAATGTTTATTAATCGGATAAGATATATGTACAAATAGAAAAAATAATGTAAGTATGTAAGCGTACTTACATATATATATCTCAATCTCTGCCAGCCCCAATCCTCCCCCAGACTATGAAATCACTTCAAAATAAACAAAGAAGAAGAGTGCTCAGTCAACTTGCCGCTCACTTAAATAAGCCATAACCTTTGCCTTAAAGGAAATCAGAGAAAGACTCTTGAAGGAATCAGGTAGCCAATTGTATAAATTAGGCATACAATACAAAAAGGTGCGTTTGAAAATTTCTAAGCGGTGGTGAGGTATCGTTAGGTATCGTGGATATCTGCGAAATCTAATTTTATCATAAAGGTATGGCGGATTTTTGTGTAAGATAATTTTGTGGTAGAGACACAAGCAGTGAAAAATCCTACGGCGTATCATGCTCAGCCAACTAGCCCATGCCAGCGTATGTGATATAGGCTCCCTTCTATGGACACCATATATAAATCGCAGACAAGAGTTTTGTAACGCTTGAATTTTAGCAGTGTGAACGCTGGCAAGGCAGGAGTGATATATTACGTCACCGTAATTGAAGATGGACAACAGCAAGGCATCACACAGATGCGTTCTAAGGTTCTGGTTCAAAATGTATCTATTGTTGTAAAGCAACCTTAATGTAGAGTAAGCTCTCCGTAGAAGGGACCGAACATGCCCATCAAAGCAAAATTTTTTACATTTTCCCCAAAGCTAAGACGACTTCCACCCATCACCAATTGCAAGTTAGTTTTTACAAACTCAGATGAAGCTCTATCCCCAAAAACCATAACCGATGACTTACTAGAATTAATCCGTAAACAAAGCTAGCGCCAGCAAGTTCTTCGACCTTAACTAAGTCATGATTAATTTAGCTTTCAGCGTCTTCCATATCACACAGTTTAAAAGAGTAGAGCAGTTGAGTATCATCAGCATAAAAGTATGGCATACAGTGATCCAAAACATTAGCGAACCCAATTGTAGATATCAGATATATGTGCGGTATTGGATGTACCACCATTAAGTTTAACCAACTGCTTTCTTCCAGACAATTAACTTTGTACTAAATGAATGGAACCTAAAGATAAGCCTATATAATGAAGCGCAGCCACTAGAGTATCATGATGTATTCTATCAAAAGCCTTAGAAAAATCCAAAAGTGTTAAGATAGTAACCTCACACCCACAAGCGCAGTAGCAGTATTGAAAATTGATGATTGGAAATAACTCCTAGTTTGCTAGGCTTTGATTTTTTTTCTCTCCAATAATTATGACACATTATTATCATAACACATCATTATTATATAACTTTAACAGTTAAGTAAACTCAATTCCTAATTAAATAACATATTATTTAAACAAACTAAACAGTTACACTATTTGAAAATGTTACAGACGATTCACTTCAACCTTGCATAATGCGTTGATACAACCAGCATAAATAAACTCCCATGACACATAAATTTGCATTCAAATACATTCAGATACATCGTCTACGTACAACGCATTCCAAAGTTCGCCTCAATTTACATGTTACAACCACAAAAATAATTTTTATTTATTAGGTTGTCTTTTAGAATTTCAAGGTTTTATTAATTTTTGTCAATTTTTTTGAGTTTTCAAGCAATTTTTCTTCCTTGGTTGTGTGGAATGTGAGGAATGCACGTTGGAAGTGTGTTAGTTTGCATTTGAAAGCAGTGAGGAAACACATGTATACCGTTAAGGAACGTGTAAGAAACGGTGGATTAATTTCTTCCGAATATTATGCGGTCTTGGCCGCGTTTTCATTTTATTAAAAGTCGCCGCGTTGCGAAACCCGACACTTTACCACCAAATATAGCAGAAATTATGTCTTGAACACACGTGGAAGAACGACACCGAAAGAAGCCCAAGGATTTCCACTTCTCATCTTATCCGATTTTCTTCGCCTTTAACAGATTCACTGTTATACATTTTTTTTTTTTGTTAAATCATATTAAGTCGATCTTTTTACAGTCCATTAACCGCTCCCGTTTTTCAAAGGAACTAACAATCCAAAGGAAACGCATCTTTCCATTTCATCTTTCCGTCTCGTTACGCCTTGTTAGTACAAGGAGGAAATACATTTCTCCAAACACTTCTTGTTTCTTGTTGAGTTTTTTTATTGCGTGGGTTATTTTTGCCGAAAAAAGAATTCTTCAAGGACGTGTGGCATCCTGCACGCCTACTCTTGCATGCGGAAAGACGGAACAGGTTATGTAACGATTGATTATGCGAAACGAAAATTTGCAATTTAAATTGTAAGAATTTTGGTATTGAAATAAAATGAACTCATGATAAAATGATATCGAAAAGAAAGATT